TCTCTCTCTCTCTCTCTCTCTCTCTCTCTCTCCCCTCTCTCCCTCTTCCTTTTTCCCTTCCTCTCTCCTGCCATCACACCTATTGTATGTTTATAATTGCAACATCAACATCATAACCTGAAGATAACTCTCTACCACATTCTTCTTCCTTTGATTCCCACAATTCTTGTACCCCTCTTTCCAAGATACTCCTTGGGCCTCAGAGGCGGTGACATAAATGTCCTATTTGAGGCCAAGCACTCAGCAGTGTCTTAATCTCATCATTGTGACCAGTTATGAGTCCCTGCTTTGAGTGTTGCTCACTGTAAAAGATGTTCCTCTGATGGAGATTTGCTGAGCTAGTACATGGGTATACACTTATATATTTGGAAGGCAGTTTTACTGTCCATTTGACAAGACTCCAGCTGCAATCACACTATAAGGATTGGGCACTCCTCAGCCACGAGCTTTTGGCCCAGCTCTCCTGTGGCAGACACATATTCCGTCCAGGAGAGTGTGCCTCAGATCTCACTGAGATGCGGTTGTGTCTCTCAGAACCTCCATGCCGTTATTGAACCAGTCCGCATATGTTGGCAGGCAGCAGAGCACTGAAACACTCAAGGTCTACAGCTGACTGTGACTGTTGATGATGTGTCTGTGTTGACAGCCTGAGTAGACAGTATCTTCTACCATATCAATGTGAGCCAGCAGGGAGGAAGCTTCCAGTTCAGGCTCGGCTTCTTTCCTCTGTGTTGTCTTCAGCGATAAAGACTTAGAATACCTGGTTCTACTGGGTAAGCAAGAGTGATGGCAATAGCCTGTACTGTTTTGAAAGTCTCTGGGGGCTACCTGGGCAACAACTCGTAAGGAGGGACTCCCATATACAAGGTGCTTCTTAATCCAGGCAAGTTGGCCAAGTAAAACAGCTTTCATATCAGGGAGCCTCTTTGGCTCAGTTCTATTTTCAATGGATTAGAAAGTTGTAAGAAATGAATAAGCTAATTATTAAATATCTTCCCTGTTTAAAAATTTTAAACAATGCTGATGAATAACACACTCTCCTCTCAACGTGCCACTTGCTCTTGATTGATTATGTACACTAATGGGGTCATCCTCTTGTGTCCCTCGATTATACTCTCTGTGTAAAGTATGCCTGTTGTTACTGTTTCAGTTATTTTGAGACAGGATTTCTCTGTCTAGCCCTGGCTGTCCTGGAACTCATGGTACAGATCCGGGCTGGATCTCAGTGATCTGAGCACCTCTGCCTCCTGAGTGCTGGGACTAAAGGCATATACTGTCATGCTCTGCTGTATGTTTGTTATTTTTATTTATCTTTTCATATTATTTCTAGTTTAATTTTTTTAGACAGATGTTGGACTTCCCTGCTTACTGATTATACTTTAAATGATCTGATATTTTTATTTGATCTTTTTCTTTTCCAGGAATAATAAATTTCTGATTTTTGTCTACCGAATTATAATTTCAGAAGAATTTGAATATGCATCACATGTTGTAACAGTCATGTATATTTTCCCTATGATAATACATTTGTGGCCAACTGCAAGAGAGTTAAATGTATCGGCACTGACATCCATAAACTACTACTTTATGTTTTTATATACATTAGAATCAGCACTGAAGGTACTATGGAAAGTAGAAATACGTTGTCTAAAAAGAATAGCTCAGATACTTTTGAATCCACTTTTGCTACTTTATTATACTTGATATCAGAAGCTATTTGTTGTTACAAATGATGGACTCTTGGTATGTTAACACCCTTAGTCTGAGCCTTAGACATCAGCTAAATCTCATAGAAGTAGAGGCTCTCGAGGATTAGGTGAAAAAAGAAAAACCCTGAAAATTTCAGATATAGATGCTTCCCTTAAATTCTTCCTGAAGTAATGCAGAACATTCCCATAATGCATTGTATAAACAAATACAGTTGAACTGGCTTGAGAGCCACATGTCAGACCAGATAGCCCAGTGACCATAGTTTACCATGATTCTTTATTAATAGTCTTACAGCAAATTTGTTTATTGCTTTTACAATTTTGAATCATGTTCAATGTTTTGATGTGGAAAATTAATAGTTTAGGAGAATTCCAGACAAGTAGCTTAAAATTCAGCTTTTAGAATACAGGTCATGGGCTGGAGGGATGACTCAGTGGTTAAGAATGGGTACTACTCTTGCACAGGGTCCAGGTTCAGTTCCCTGAATCTACAATGAATGGCTCACAATGAATGGCTCACAATTATTCCTCACTGTTACTCCAGATCCAGAGTATCTGATGCTCTCTTTGGGACTTCCTGGGCACCTGAACACACGTGGTACACACAAACACACACTCAGATGAATACACACACACACACACACACACAGAGAGAGAGAGAGAGAGAGAGAGAGAGAGAGAGAGAGAGAGAGAGATATTGAGAGAGAGATATTGAGAGAGATATTGAGAGAGAGTTGTATTTAGGAAACAACTCATTTCTTGCTGACTTACAATTTTAAGTCTGTCCCTCTCTCCTATGTCAATATACAGCTGTGATAGAGTAATATATATTCTATTTGTTGTTTTAAACAGATGCTAATTTTGAAAAGGAAATATTTTCTTCAGAATTGGAACACTTTGGACTTTTTTATCATAGTCATTGGAATCATTGATATATTGTGCATGTACTTCGTTAAGCTGAGGCCAGACAGCTTGGTTTTCATCCAGATTACGGTGGTGATAGGCTATTTAAGAGTGATTAGGTTTCTCCCCATCTTCAAGGTAAGGCTTCTTATGCTGAAATGCTGTTTCTCTGCATGGTTTGCTAAGTGATTTACTAAATTTCACTGTTTGGAGAGACACAAGAGAGGGGAGTTGCTTCTTCCAGAATGTTCTTTGAATAGCCGCCTGCTCGCTTTGCCCTCTCACTCTCTTTTGCCATTGCTTACATCTTGTCTTCACAGAGGGTTTTCTCTTCACAACAGACAAGAGTGGAGACCCGGGCTCTACACCCCCAGCTCTATACCTCATCCTTTTTTGCTCTCCTCCGTTGGCCTAGTTTCTGATTTTCCTTTTATTTATCAGTGATGCACACTTAGCGTGCATAAAAATTACTCTGCAGAGTTGTATGTGTAAAACCTACTTAAAGGGATAATTTTGATTCTATCTATTTGCCTTGGGAGTTGAGCTAAGAGTTCATGTAGGCAAGCTCGCATAGGCCTAACTGCATCACACAAACTACTAGAAATGAAGAGGAGAAGCGAGGCTAAGACAGCACAGAAGAACTTATTAGGACGATCGTTTTTATGTAGATGTCTTGTGCACATAAATGCACAAGAGAGGATTTCCCTGTGTAGCCCTGACTGTACTGGAACTTGCTCTGTAGACCAGGCTGGTTTTGAACTTAGAGATTCCACTACTTCTGCCTCACAAGTGCTGGATTAAAGGCGAGAGCCACCACTCCTGATGCAAGATAATTATTTTAGAAGTAACACTCTATGAAAAAATTTAAAGATGGAAACAGTTTTATATTTTTGGTTGTGACCTTAGCCTTTAACGGCTGAGCCATCTCTCCAGCCCATGGAAACAGTTTTAACGGCGTTTTGTTTGTTTGTTTTTTACATTTATTTAATGTGAGTGCTTTATCTGCATGTGCACTTGCATGCCAGAAGAGGGCACCAGATCACATTATTAGGTGTTTGTGAGCCACCGTATGATTGCTGGGATTGTACTCAGGCACTCTGGAAGAACAGCAAGTGCTCTTAACTCCTAAGCCTTCTTTCCAGCTCCTTGGTAGTGTATTTTTGTGTAAGCCAAATTGTTGTGTGACTTTTGGGGGGAGATGTAAAAAGAAATTGTCTGTACATTTCAGATTGGGAATCAATGACAGGCCAAAGTAGTGATTTCAAGTGCACTTTGACAAACCTATGAGTTTTGGGGGTTTATGTAACAGGAATATGGGTGAAGGGTTTTTTACAGAGATAGGGGTGAGTCTGAGGAGAGAGGTCCGTTTCCTTTCCCTAGCATTCCTTACCACTATATAATTTTGGGAAGAGTCCTTGTGATCCTTATAAATTTCAGGAACTTTCTGATTCTTGTGCGTGGTTTACTTCCTGAGTCTTAAAGAGAACTTCCTCCAGAATAGAATGTTTCACTTTAGGGGAGATTTTTAAACAATGCAAATCTATAAGATTGTGCCCGGCAAATTTCAATCAGCCCCATGTCTTCTACTGCCTGACCAAAATGTTAACAAAGAGTATTTAAGAAATTATTATTACTATTACATATTTGGATTTTTAAATTGAGCATTTCCTCTTGGGCAGGAACTGGGGAAAGCACTTTATATAACTTATCCAGGTAAGCTCTTACAGTAGTCTTGTGAGGTAGATGTGACTTCTACATAAAGTTTGGTACCCGAAAAATTAGACTTAGCTCAATGTGACTTTGAAAGAAAACATATCTGCTTCAGTGAAGACTGTGAGAATGCTGGAGATTTTTGTTTTAGATGCCTTAAGAGTCAATGGTCAGCTCAGTGGGTTGTCAGTGTATCACAGAGGAAAGGTTTGAAAACATTTTCTTTAAACAAGATTCCTCTACCCCCAAATGGGAGGTAATAAAGTCTTACTCTGTTCCTTTAATTCCTTCACTGTGATACTATGATACTATTATTCTTGTTACTTTCTCTTCTCTTAATATTGAATCTTTCTTTCCCTCCCTCCCTCCCTCCCGCCCTCCCTCCCCCCCTGCCTCCCGCTTTCTTTCTTTGTTTCTTTGTTTCTTTCTTTCATTAAAAAATAAGTTAACATACACTTAATTAGGTTTCATCATGCGATTTTTCACATAAAATTAGATTTTGTTTTATTAATTCTATTTCCCCCTCTTCTCTCCCATCCCCGTGGCCTTCTTGTAACACACCCCACACCCTGCACTAGCCTCCTTTCTATTTTCATGTCCCGTGTGCTACTGCCCTCCCTGCCTTGCTTGAAGCCTTTTATTCCCTCCTGTGGTCTCCGTCCTTGTTTTGTAGCTTGTAACCCACACTCACCCCTACTTATGTGCATACACATAACCATTATAAACTAGATCCTCATGCGAGAAAAAGTACTTAATGAGATGTATGATTTCCCTGCTCCCATCATTCCAGATTATAGTACCAATACTAATAAATATGGCAGACATTCAGATCAAAAAGAGCCTCAGCTTGATGTACAGTATTACAAAAGGCTATGTCAAAAGTCAGGAAGATGCCAAGCTTTTGGTAAGGCAAATTTCTGGACGTGAATCAATCTATCGGGTAAGAAACAGGCAATGGCCATTTTTTGGAAGTGGTGGTGTGGATGGGAATGACCTTGCTTAAGTGGGTTTATATCTTATAAGATCAGCTTGCCGTGTATTAGACCAACAGACAGATTTCAATAGTCAAATGGGTTCTAGTATTTGTTACACAAGGTGCTTCAGAAAACAGCTTGAACTCTGTGTGTATGTATGTGTGTTTATGGTTGTATGTGTGTGGGATACATTTGGGTGTGCTCTATTTCAAATAAAACAAGGCAAGAGACAAAACAAAACACCCTCCACCCCATAAAAAAATCAACCAAACCAAACCAAACCAAACCAAAGAAAAAAAAAACAACACCAGAAAGAGAATTGAAACTCCCAAAGAAAGCCAAATTGAATCTGTCACTGGTGGAGCTTCACAGTGAAGTTCATGGTTGTGGAGTCACTGCTATCGAAGAGGTAAGCACAAAAGGTGAATGAGTTGAAGAGGAGTCACTGGTCCAAGAAGAGTTGATGAGTAAAATGTCCACTATGAAACTCAGCTTGATCTTCCAGGCCTTGTCAGAGACCATACCAAAGCCTTGCCTGGGTTAAGCCCCACCTGCTTTCCATAGTCATTTTAATCATATATGTATGGATGATTTGTTTACCATCCATATGGTTTAGTCTTTGTCTTAGTTAGGGTTTTACTGCTGTGGAGAGATACCATGACCAAGGCAACTCTTACAAAGGAAAACATCTAACTGGGGCTGGCCTACAGTTTTGGAGGTTCAGTTCATAATCATCATAGCAGGAAGCAAGGCACAGTGCAGACAGACATGGAGTCAAGAGTTCTACATTTCAATCGTCAGGCACCCAAGAGGGGATTGCCTTCCTCAGGCAGCCAGGAGTATCTCTTCCACATAGAGCATAGCTCGAGCAGAGGAGCCTCAAAGCCCCACTCCCACAGTGACACACTTCCTCTAATAAGGCTGCACCTTTTAGTTAAGTGCCATTTCCCATGGGCCAAGCATATTCAAACCACCACAGTCCTTGTTTCATTTTTTCTCACAACTTCCAACTTCCCTTCCTCCTTTGCCATGAGGACTCTTTGGTGTGACTTTCCAGTCCAGCCCTCTGTTGTGGGCCTTCTGCTCTTTTGTGGTGGACCTATTCCTATTAAACTAACTATATATATGTAGATGTACATACACACACACACACACACACATATATTTATAATTTTGACAGTCATGTTCTTATCTTCCAAAACTGAGATTCCTTCTTTCTCCAAGCAGTAAGTTTTTTTAAAATGAATAGTCTCTTGAATTTCTTATTTTAAAAGTTTCTCTGTTTCCTATATGAATTCTGCTTTCTTGAAGTCCCATTACATACATGTTTCATTTATTTCTTATCTTTCATTCTTTTATTCTCTCTCTCACCCCAATACTTCTTGATTTCTGTGTAAATCAAGGTCTAAACTAAATGGTGTAAAAGTTGAGAGGCACTTTTTCAACTCAAATAAAACTTACGATTTAGATACAATGACAAATTTAAATCCTAAGCATTAAATCCCTAATACAGCAATTTTGATGGACTCTGTGCATAGCTAGAGGGTTGGAGGCTGTGTCTTTCTTCTGCTTGTGGTGCCTTGAGACAGTTACTGTTAGTGGCCTCAGGCCTATGACCAGGAAAGAGATTACGAAGTTACTGATCTTCTTTATGGCATCAACATCAATATGCAACAGAATTGTATTCTGATGATTTATCATCACAAACGGAGGATTAAATTAGATACTGAAAGGCTGGGTTGATCTAGTTTAGAAAAGCAATAGAGAAGCCAGTGTTGTGGTTCATTGTGGGAAAAACGCCACAGCAGTGTCACGGAGGCTTTCCACACAGCGGGTCCCACGTACAGGAGAAAGTCTAAGATTCCAGAGGCTGGAGGCTTTGGTGGTGGCAGGCCTCAAAGACACAAGAAAGTCCTTGGTTCCAATAGGATTTATTTTCATGGCGGATGATAGATGGATCTGGATGTACCCTCCCAAAACTCAGGGCAGACCTGAGTTAAATAGGGAGGGAGAAAGGGGGAGGGTCTGGGGAAGAATGCTTAATTGGCTCTGCCCTCTGGCCTTCATTAGTATATAAATCTCTAGGGCCTGAGGCCTGTAGTCACACCCTCTACCTGTGCACTTTGGGAGGGGCTGTAATGGCCTACATGACTCAACAATGTAGGTCTATGGAGACTAGACTTTATGTCAGGACTCTGGGTTATGGGGACATGGCCAAACACCTGTCGTTTCTCCCTTGGAGTCTTGGGGTTCCAGGCCCATGCCCAGCCATGAATCAAGATATTATGCAGTCCTATAGTTCATGACTGAAATTTCAACAAATGGAAGGTTGAAGTTTTTGTAGGCCATGCTGGATTACATAATGAGCTTCGGGCCAGCCAAGGCTACACAATAAGACCCTGTTTCTCCTCCACCACAGCCCTGCCAAAACAAAACCAAATAAAACAGAGAACATGGAGAAGTTCATAGGAGAGAAGACTTTAGAAGAAGACAAACAGGACCTGGGGAGGGAGCTAAGGATAAGGACAGTTAGAGACATTTGGGAGAGGACAGAGGGATCTGGGAGCAGTGACTTAGTAGCAGATACAAAACAAACCTTCAATGTCACTTTAAATGGGGATGGGGCACGACTCTAGGGAGCTTGAGTGCTCTTAACCACTGGCTGTTCTTTCAGAGGATCCAGATTCAAGTCTCAGCACCCACATGGCCACTCACAACTGTCTGTAACTCCAGTTCCAGGGGATTGGGTGCCCTCCTCATCTAGTCCTCATAGGCACCAGGTGAGCATATGTACAGACATACATTCAGACAAAACACCCCTACATATTAGAGAAAATAAGAATCAAGAATCAGAGGACCTCAGTAAGGACTTGAATGGTTTTCTGAGATATGCATTAGATGGGTGCTTCTTCAGAAGTGACTGGGTGCTTCTTCAGAAGTGACTTAGTGCTTCTGGAAACTGGCCCAATGGCCGTTTACCTGCAGAGAAGTAACAGACATTGCCTTCCTAGCAACAGGCAGGAGTGACTGCTGACCAGAGTCTTCGTGTGAATATAAATCCAGTTCTGCATGAAAGTAGTACAATGTAAAAAAGGGCTAGCTGTGAGTCTGCTAGTGCCAGAAGACATCCAATGACAATTATTAATATTGAACTGTTTCATAAAAATGCATATCACTTGCATATTCAAAGCTAGGGCCCCACTACATGCAATTAAAAAGCCCAAACAAACAGGGAAGAAGAAGAAGAGGAGGAGGAGGAGGAAGAAGAAGAAGAAGAAGAAGAAGAAGAAGAAGAAGAAGAAGAAGAAGAAGATCCACCAAATTTGCTTAAACTTCAGACAACAGACCAGTTGCTCTCTCTAAGTAGTCCTGTGGCATGCAATATCTGACTTATCTTGCAAGTACCTGTATGTGACAACCCAGGGAAATGTTCAGTGCTTCCTCAGAGTTGTTGGCATGATTAAGAATATGCACCGGAAAGACTCAAAGTCAGAGTGAGCTTTATGAGTTAGTGCCTGGGACAACGAGCATCCCACAGTATCTGTTGTGTGATTGAAGAAAAGCAACCACATGACTGGTTTGCCTCTATGTGGAGTTACTTCTTCGACTATTTAAGGAATGGCCTTTGGGGAGAACAAACTTGTCAGGGCATGCTCACAACATTTCACTTGTTTCTGTGCTCTCTGCAGAATAGATCTCCAAACAGCTCTTCCCTCTGAACCACACAGCTTCAAATTGGTGTCTGCCCATGAGAGTTCTCAGTGGCACACGGTGGGGTGCCAAATACTTTTCCTTCCTTCCTTCCTTCCTTGCTTCCTTCCTTGCTTCCTTCCTTCCTTCTTTCCTTCCTCCTTTCTTCCTTCCTTCCTTCCTTCCTTTCTTTCTTTCTTTCTTTCTTTCTTTCTTTCTTTCTTTCTTTCTTTCTTTCTTTCTAACCAATAATAGTCACAGTGAAGCATGGCACTTATGCAAAATATCAGCCATGCAACACAGTGCGATTTGAGTCCCGGGGAAGTTATACTGGAACTCCTCAGAAGACAAATGCTCCCCTAAATCACACTAAGTGAGACTTCCTCTGTATTCCTGCTTCTTTAACTTGTAATCAGGCAATAAAGCCAGGATTGTACTTGGTGTAATGAGAACCATTTCTTAATTTCTTACAGAAATTATATGACATTTTAGAAAAGAACAAACGAGAAGCTATTAGAGAGCTAGGTAAGTGGTTAGAGCTTTTGGCTTCCTGTTTTGTTTTTGCATAATTCCTTGGTTTTGTTTTCTTGTGGTTCTGACAGCCAGAATCTTAGATGATGGTGCTGTCAAGGTTGATTTCTGGTAAGACTGGCTTCTTGCTGGGCATACATGGCTGTTTTATTACTGTGACTCCATCTAACCTTTCCTGAACACACAGAGGGACTCCAGTGTCAATTTCTCTAGTGAGGGCCATCCTCACAAGGTGGGAGCCCAGTGTTTATGACATCATTTAAGCCCATCACCTCTGTAAAGGCCCTTTCTCTAAGTATGGTCATTGTGGATTCAGCATGTGACACTGACAGGCAAACACTGCAGAGGGAAAAGATCTGGGAAGAAAAAAGTCCCTTAAGTCCATAGAAGTATCTGGAGAACCCAAGCATGCATGGGTATTCTCTCCTTCATATGTGTGTACATACTCTATGGTTTAGTTCTCCAGCTCTCTGCAGTGAGCATTTGTTCTTTGGTAATTGGGACATCTGCACTGAGAGGCAACACCTGTCTTCCGGAGGCGAGCCTTTCCCTGACAGATGTTCCTCAGAGCTCTGTTGCTCTGGGGATGACTTATTCTCACCACAACCTCCTCACTCAGCTTGGAGCTTCACAAAGGCCATTCCAGGCTGTGAAGTCTTCCGCTTCACATTCTCATTCATTCCTTATTTACTGGCCATACGTAAGGTCCAAAGATGGAACAGCAGTATTGGGTAGATGCAGATTTTTCAAAAACAAAATGAGCATTCTGATAGAGTGTCCGAGTGAACCAAAGGATATCACTGTAGAACATAGGGAGCAGGGGGAGGGGTCACATCAGCAGCTGTGGCAGTATAGGGAAGGCTCGACACAGGGGTGCCTGTTAAGATAGCAAGGTCAGGCTGGAAGCAGGGGTCTGTATGGGTTTAGATAACCAGGTCAGAGTCAAGGTTTTTAGGACAGGGCACATGAAGGTTGTTACCTTTGACAAGAAGTTGTTCTGCCTTATTTTTTATCCGGCAGACTCCAGAAAGTAGGGACTCCACCCAACTCTACCCCTTCCCTCTTTGGTAAGACTGTCCCAGTGTAGATTACAGGAAACGCTACTTTTGCTTGAGCATCTATGTTCAGTTTGCTTTACTTGGAGGAGATAATAGGAGCTCAAGGATTTTATGCTGAGCATCTTGAGTGTACTTTCCTCATATGACCATTTCAGTGAGCATTAGAGCGTCGGGTCGTGGCTCTGGCCTAAGGTGCACCATTAATAAATGGAAGTCACTAGAAAAGAGATAAAGGCCACTTTCAACTCACAGTCACATTGTAAGATGCCATATGGACTTACAGCGACATGCTTTCCAGATCACAGTAGAAAGAACACAGTCTAATGGCTGTCTGTGCTAAGATAGGATAAACCAAAAGATTATGGTGCTGTCTTGGGAAACTGAAAACTCATTGTTACCATTTACTTAGGCAGAAGGTTTTTATTTCTTTGCTCTTACAGTGCAGGGCCCTAGGACCTGCGTAGCATGATGCTGTGTCTTAGATGATATGGAATATTAGGAAGTTTCCTCAATTTTGTCCCGATTAATGGCGTGTCTGTTTCCATACGGCTCCTGTGAGTGGTCACGGGATGGGAATGTCAGCAGGAGCTCGAGAGTGATATATGGATATATCCTCAGTTAATCCTTGTAATCACTACTTATGTGGCTTATACTATTCTTCCGTGGTCTTTATGACCGTGTTTGAAACTGGTACTTCACGTGGTCATCTTGCCTGAGGTCACATGATTTAAGAAGTGGCAGTCAGATCTCTATCGCTGGTAGACTGGTACTAAGACCTATTCTCTAGATCATAGCTACGTTTTATTTTACTGATCAATTCATTTTAGTGAAAACAAAAAGTGTAAGTACCTTCCATACATACATGAGACATTGTGGTCAGTGTAAAGATGACAGTGTGAGTCTAATTCATGACCTCCCGTGTTTATTCAAGGAGAATGAGTATTTCACTTGATCTCACAAGACCCATCCATCTAAGTCTTCCGAATGAAAGTCTTTTTGTCATCCAGCCAACAAAAGGTATATAGAGGATGAGGCAGAGACATCAAACCTATACTCTAGAGAAATGAGTTTTGGTATAGACACAGTCAGAGACACCATGGGGATAAGGCAGAGTGGGTTAGCTGAAGGGGAAGCTAGCTTTGTATTTTCTTATCCATGTAATGGGGATTAAAATTCACCCTACCAGTCTCATGGGTTCTATGTGAAGCTAGAACAAACAGCTATTCTACAAATACTTTGGATATCCTAATGCAATATTAGTTATTATCGTGGCATAGGTTGCTCATCAAGTTTGATTTTTCTCAGGACTCATAGAGCATGAAGGCCGTGATGTCGTCATAGCTCTGAAGACAAAGCAGACAGTCCGCAACGTGATTGCCAAAGCCCTGAAAAACCTCACCTTTCTTTGGTCAAGAGGCATCATTGACAAGCATGAGGGCATTGAGATGAACAAGGTAATAATTCAGTTCCCATCTTGTTTGGTTCCGTCAGCGCAGAAGCCCCAGGATGTAACAAGAAAAGCTGAGGGACGTGTGTAGCCACAGGTGCTATGCGTGTGATTCCTTGCAGCATTTTTAATGCCTGTGGCCATCAAAGCCAGTGCTTCCTGGCATGCTCCAGTAGTTAGAACAACCTGACTGCAAGTGACAGAAACCAGTTGCAGTGAAGCTCAGTGAAGAAGTCAGCTTGGCAGTTTAATGAAAAGGACTCAGAAGGGACTTACTGGGTCAGGCCTCTAAAAGGGACTTAAAGAAAGATCTAGAAAGTTTTTCTGATTCCTTAGTTCTTATCAGGATTGCATCTGTGAAATCCTCCTCTGGCTTGTTTTCTGGACTCGGTAGATATGTTTCTATTTATTTTTCTGCTTCTTTATCTACTGGTGGAGTTTTTACTGCCTAGTTCCCTAGCTAGGGTATCTACAGAGACAGTAACATAGTAAAGGGAGGGGACCAATTATGTGTGTGTGTGTGTGTGTGTGTGTGTGTGTGTGTGTGTGTGTAAGACAGGGTAGGATGTCATACTTTAATTACAAAGATGGCAAGTTTGAACCGAGTTAATAAGTGAAAACAGGAAGAAGACAATAGGGACAAAAATACAATACACGCAAGGGGGGGGAAACTGAGTCACAATAGAAATTTATTTAGATTTCTTTGGTTTTGGCTTCAAGTCCATGTCCTATCATAGAGACAATCACTATAATTTTAAATGTTCACTTTTAGGTACTTCTTACAAAAATCAAAGCCTTGAATAACTTTCCAATGGCGATCCCACCTCCCACCCCTGACAAATACCTTCCCAACATCATCTGGATGGAAAATAAAGATGTTCTCATTGAGTTTTTCAAGGTATTATCTTCTGTTCTGGCTCAGGCTTGTTGTAAACACTTTCTTCTGCCCCAACCAGTGACAAAATAAAAACACATCAAAAACAGAAATTTAGTTAAATTCAGCCTTTGGTGGGGGGAGAGTTGAAGATATCAGAAACCTAACTTAAACAAAGAGACAGTGTTCTGAGGAATTGAGATTGCTGTCACTGCCTAAGCCCCAGACAGAGCTAAACACTTTTCTTATTTGTTCATTTGCTCAGTCATTCCCAAACCATTTATAAGGTGTTAGCATTATTTGTTGTGCAAGTACTGATTACAAAGTTTTTGTTTGTTTGCTTGTACTTTTATTTCTCAAAGTTGATGTATCATGTCTATATAGGATAACTAACAACCTAAGAATATGTTTTCTATGCTTTTGCGACTTGAAAAGTATTTTTAATTTTAAAAATCTTATTTCCGTTTAGACAAAAGGTCTATGGTATTTTAGGGTTTAACTCTCTCCCCCTGTTTTATTTTATTTTTTCATTCAGGAAAGAACCAAACTCACTTACTTTGACTATGGGGATATCATTTGTAGAGAAGGTGAAATGCCGCAAGGAGTCTTCTTAATTATTTCAGGAATGGCGAGTGTAAGAACAACTGGTTTCTAAAATTATTTTTAATGCATTTTGAATATATAGATGTGACGTAGGGGAAAGTGTTGGAGTTGGATAGTTTGGAATTGTGAGTCTTTCCCACATGAAACCATTTCTGCAGAGTTAAGTGTGACAACTGAGACAGAATGTCACACTTCACACTTGACTGTGCTTCCCATTTTACAAAGCGATCTCAGAGTTGTTACTTACTCTTCACAACAAAGCAAAGGAATTCTGTGGTTTGAAGATGTTCAGACATGGGAACCAGTAAGTATCTGGACTCATTTACCTAAGTGAGAGTTCAGGCAAAGGGCTTGGCTGCAACTCAGAGCCTCACAGAGGTCAAGTTGGATGAAGATCAAAATACAACTTGGCAGTTGATCAACGCAAGGCTTCTGTTTAAAGGGCGAGAGGGAGAAGGGAGGCGTGAGAAAGGGAATATGAATTCAGTAGTGGGATGGGGTAAGAATCCTCTGTCTCTACATACTGGTACTTCAGCAGCTGACTAGAGTGATCAGTTTGGCTTATACACTGATCAATTCCTAATTCCCAGCTGATACTCTCATGTGACAAAGCTTCATCCTAGGGAAAAGAATATATTTGACCTCTAAACTTTAAAATGAGCATTTCAGACCTTTTACTATTGAGAAAGTAAAGTACTGTGATGAATATAATATAAAGACGATGATATATCAAGCATCTGAGTCTAGACAGTTTTGTTCATTGAATGAACAGGTATGTACCTTGTTACGCTCCTGAGCAAGCACTCCTCATTCTAGGTGCAGGACTTACAAAACTGAAAAAAGAATCTTGGCTCATTTGGAACTTATTTTCCAGTGGAAGAATAAAAGGAGAGGGCATAATATATAAAATAAAGTAAAGGTATACACTGTAAATGTAACTTTATTTGCAGGATGTAATTGTTGTCTTGGAGGCTTACTGCTGAATAAGTTCACCCTTTCTAGTTATTTCTGAGCTCTGGCTGGCTGATTTAAGTCAGTTGTTCGAGCTCAAACTCCTTTCCAAGCTGACTGATTCAATCTGGCTTCTCTTAGCTTCCTCATACTAACTTTGATGATTCGTTCTAATCTCCTGGGCTCCTTCGAATTCTCTGGCTTGTTCTGTCTTCACCCGTGTCTTTCTTGTCCTGTCTCTGTAAAACTAACTAACTAACTAACTAACTAACTAACTAACTAACTAACTAACACTCTCTCTCTCTCTCTCTCTCTCTCTCTCTCTCTCTCTCTCCCCCCCCCTCTGTCTCTCTGTGTGCTGCTCTCTTAACTTGCCTCTCTTTCCTGGGCTGTTCTTTTGAGAGTTGGGTGTCTCCTATCTCTGACTCATATTGTCAAATCTTCTGATTTGTCCCTTTGTCTGCCCCTCAATTACACTTTCAAACATGGCTTCTTTCTCCTACAAACTAAATTTATCTTCATTATTAAGGAATAAAGGTGTGTACTAAAGGTGTGTCTGTATTCCAGCCAGATCATACTGTAATTCAGAGTGTGTCTGTGTTCCAGATGGATCACATAAACCCAGAAGGTCTTTGGATGTGGTTTCTTTTCAGAGCAGCCATGTTGCTGGATTAAAATTCCTCTACAATACACGTTTAGTATATAGTAAAAGAGGTTTCCTAGGAATTAGGATTCTCTAGAAAAACTTCATTCTCAAAATGAAGATGTGCCACCCATAGGACCTCTGATGCAGAGTGAACAAACACACCATTCCTTATGTTCAACTTGCTTTTTTCACTCTTGCGTAGTTAAGGGTTTGACCTAGGGAATGGTGCTACCCATACTGGCTTGGTCAATAAACAAGATAATCCCTCACCAATACCCACAGATGAGCCTGATTTAGATAATTTCTCAACTGATAATCAGGTGATTCTATGTTATGAGACGTTGTCATTTCAATCCAGAGTCAGTCTTTCTGTGGGTAGAGGCTCTGGTAACAAAACTAGTGGCCATGAGGGGACAATATTTTGAGTCCTTTGGATATGGGACTCCCAGAATTTCATGTGGCTATCTGGTCCTGAGGAATTTGTTTGCTTGTTTGATTTCTTTTGTTTTGTTTTGTTTCTTGAAACAGTTTTTCTGTGTGTAGCCCTGGATGTTCTGTAGACCAGGCTGTCCTTGAGCCTCTGCCTCATGAGTGCTGGGATTAAAGGTCTCTCTCTCTCTCTCTCTCTCTCTCTCTCTCTCTCTCCCTCCTTTTACAGTATTAGTGTGTCTGTGATTGCCTATGAAGAAAACAACAAACCATAAAGAATAGGAAAATTAACTTATTTATAGCTCTGTCCATAAATGGGGAGAGGAAAATTCTCAATCTGTCAAGGCATTTCTCATAAAAATGAACAGAACTTAAAGAAAAACCATGAAATATGCACATGGTGGTAGCTTTTCTCTTGCAAAGTGAGTCTTCTGATGAAAGGCCCCTGGGGAGGGGAGACTCCCCACTCAAGCCACGAGAACTCATGGCCACCCATGACTCAGAGACACCGATCTTGATGTAACCAGCAAGAGGTATATTTTAATCAGCTCGCTGAGGCCAAGACCCCATAATCCACGCAGGGGCAGAGGATCTCGACCCCCAGCTTGAGGAGAGTAGTGTATTTAAAGGAAAAAACCACAACCCAGGGGGAGTGGGGAGGGGTAACTGTGGAAAGTGCCAGGGTTCAGGGAACAATCATGGGGAAAGTGTCAGCCCATTACTCAGCATATGACAGGGTTTGAGGAACAATCATGGGGAAGTATAGGTCTTTTTTTCTCAAGGTTCAATCTTATTCAACCGTATCATTTACATCATCTACTCTGTGGTTAGCCAAGTTCTTGTTCTTGTAGCACAAAGCCTTAGAACTAGCCGAGCTGCTCTCCTGGCTCTTTTACTGTTAGTTTGCTAGAAGTGAAATTTCTATTAACCCTTCAATGACACCAGGGATCTTGTGGATGGCTCATTCTGACTCTCAGCATGGAAATCCCAATTGCAGCAGAACTCATCATAGTGTCCCTTTGATACCTGCAAGCAGATCTTGGTCTATAAGGAAATCTCTTCAGGGTAATGTTCGAGTCTAAACACCAAATTCATTTTTGTTTCTTGTGTGCCTTGTGTGTATCCTAAGACAATTTTATACAGTCTTTTTTATTGTGCTAACATTTTGACTGTAACCCGTCACGTAAGATCAAGTGTGGAATTTTCTACCAGTGGTGTTATTTCAGCCCTCAGAAAATTTCAGATTTTGGAGTGTTTTAGATTTCAGTATAGCGTCATCCAGCAAAGTGGTATGTAAAAAGTAACGAAGGTGTAAAGAACTTAGTTTTAATTTTTATAAAAGTAGTCAAGCGAGGCAGTATGTTTTTGTTATTTAATTTTTATAAGAGTCTTGAGGCTTGGTTTCTTTTGTTGTATTACTGTTTTGTTTTGTGCTAAGGACTGAACTCTATAGCCTCAAGCCTGTTAGGTAGTATCATTGAGTATACTCCTGGCCCAAGAGTCTTACTTTTTATATAAGTAAAACCTTTGCCTTGAGGTGTTGAAATACAAAATAAACCATAACTTTTGTGAAAGTTAATGCTCTCCAGACATGTTTCACAAAGAATGTCTGACTTTCTCTAGAACGATCATAAGAAGGAGTGGAAGCTATCGGTATTATTCAAAGGACTTAGCATTTTTTATTTCCCTTTTCATAATTTCTTCCTCAACAGCTACATAGCTCATCTCCAAACTTTGGGATAGACGCAAGCCACATAAATGACAGACAGTACAAGATTATGTATACAGAGTACTGTACCAGTGGGGATGTACTTGGTGAGCTAAGCTGTTTGCTTAAGCGTGAAATTGAATATACGGCCATCTGTGAAACTACGTTGCAGGTACGGAATAGCTATGTTGTAAGTTATCACTTAATCCTTACTAAGGAAAGCCGGTGTCTTTTCTTGGGTTTGGGCTTTGATATTCTATTTGGTCACTAGATCCTCTGATGCCAGCAGTACAGAACAGTGTAGAGAAGAGAGGTTTAATGTCTCACATCTGAGGCTCTGCTGAGCTCTGCTGCATCCTGCCTGTGGATGAGCTATTTAATCTGCTTGAGCGTTGGTTTTCTTATTAAGTAGAGAAGATGCTTGTCCTTTGATGTTATGAAGATTAGAAAAATGTTTATGGTGCTATTCTGTTTGAAATGGTCACCATTCTGAAAGCAAGTGTTCTGTAAGAATACTCGCTTGTGTTAGAACTCCCTTTCCTTGTTTTTTTTTTTTTCTTTTCACTTGCTAAGTAACAAGTTACTTGTTCAACATGTAAGTAACCTTAAATCCCGTTTGGTGTGGACCATCCCAATAAAAGGGGGCTAAAGTTCCTACTACAGATTGTTCTCAGTCTTTGAGGCTGATAGAAGGAACAGAGTCAAACACAGCATCTTAGTGGCATTGGGGAAATGGCGTTTCATCAAATTATACGACGTTGTTTCTGGAACAGGAGAGAAAGCACGTATTCAGTCACATGTCTGAGCAAACTCAGGACAATTCATTTAGCTTGAATTCTGACAGTACACGTAGTGTGCCTCTGGAAAGGGGTGCTGTAAGTAGGGAGCATTAAAGATGAACTAGTGTGAGGGTTCAGTTCCTGAGTCTCAGGCTTGTGAGCCAAAACTTCAGCATAACTGTTGAGTGATAAATAGCCTGGGTATTTTTTAAAGGCTTTTTTAAAATTTTAATTATGTGTAGGTCTCTCTCTCTCTCTCTCTCTCTCTCTCTCTCTCTCTCTCTCTCTCTCTCTGTGTGTGTGTGTGTGTATGCATGCATGTGTACATGTAGGTAGTTATGCCAGGAGAGGCCAGAGGCATTCAATTCCCTAAGGGCTGAGGTTACAGATGATTGTGAGCCACCTGATATGGGTACTGGGAACCAAACCTGGGTCCTCTGAAGAAAAGCCAGTGCTCTAACTGCTGTGCCATATATGTAGTCCCTCTGGGGCTACTTTTTAAAGTTTATAGCTTTCACTGGACTGCAGATTTTATCCTTTTATATAATCTTTCCACAATGCCCATTCTTTTAAATATTATATTAACACTAGAGCATCATAGCCTGGCACCTTGTTATTTCAGGCCTTCTTCATCTCCTTGGAGGATTTATATGAAGGTTTCGATGTCTTCTGGCCATCTCTAGAATACAAAATGTGGCTCAAGCTTGCTCTTAGTATTGCAAATCAGTATTTTGAATCAAGTATTGCTGGTGAGGTAAGTTATATGAAGAGAATATAAATGAATTGCTATGTACCAAATTTTTGATACAGTAGACCCCATCTTTTTCAGACAAAGATAGAAAGGAAGGTAGTGCCTTAGTTTGGGCTTTACTGCTGTGAACAGACACCGTGACCAAGGCAACTCTTATTAAGGACAACATTTAATTGGGGCTGGCTTACAAGTTCAGAGGTTCGGTCCATTATCATCAAGGCAGGAGCATGGCAGTGTCCAGGCAGGCATGACACTGGAAGAGCTGAGAGTTCTACATCTTATTCCAAAGGCAAACAGAAGACTGATGTCCAGGCAGCTAGGATAAGGAGCTTAAAGCCATGCTCACAGTGGCACACTTCCTCCAACAAGGCCTTACCTCTTAATAGTACCGCCTCCTGGGCCAAGCATATCCAAACCCGCAGTTGGTGTCGACTCTATTAAATGAGTTTTAACTATTAGAATTTTAACTACTGTCACATCCTGAATCCCTGTGCCATTAACAGTCTTGTCACAGTTAACTTTTCCAGGCTACCCGAAAGATCCTTTTAAAAAAACCGAATTAGAAAATATTAAATAGGAAGATCCTCCAAAGCAAAGCATACCAATAATTAGAAGTTAATCAACACACTGCTGACTAAAAAAAAAAAAAAAAAGTAGAAGTTAATGAATAGCCATAAACATACATCTCTTAGTTCTTTCAAAAATTTTGCTGAGATGACTAAGTCCTGTTTATGAACTTTTCCTCCAAAGAGTAGTGTAAGTGGTTCAAGTCTGTTTCCAGACCAACATCTGAAGTCTAGTATTTGTATGTCACGTGGTATTTATACTCACCCCTTCTGTGACTCAGAAGCTGCCCTTCTGTGACTCAGAAGCTGAGGACGTGACAGACTCAAAGTCTAACAGTTTTCACTGGTTAACTATAAACCTTGGGTTAAAAAGAGTATGTCCCCCACGCCAGCCTAGTTTCATTTACAATACCACAATACTTACTCTCCGGAAAATTTTGGAGTAAGGAGACTAGGATTCATCGCCATTTATATTGTCTCTCCATGAGGAGTAAGACAATTGCTAGTGTAGAATGAGCCTCTGGAGAGGAAAGTTAAGGCCAAGGTGTTAGACTTTCTCACAGCCGGGCAACTGTCCTTTATAATCATGCTTTGATTCACAAGTCATGATGCAAATGAGAATGGTCAGAAATAAAATGTTAAGGGCAATTATTTTTGTATACAATTCACTTAACTTCACTATTGCTGAGATAAAACACTCTGACATGAGTAACCTAATGGTTAGCTCATGGTTCGTTGTGGCAGAGGAGTTGAGGCAGCAGGAACTTGAAGCAGCCAGACACATGACAGCCACAGGCAGTTTACAGAGAGGAGTGAGTGCAAATCAGTTCTCAGTCTCCCTTCTCTACTCAGTGCTGGTTTGGGATCCCTTGCCCACAGTGAGGATTAATTAGTTAATAGAGATTACCTTAATTAACAAAATCAAGACAATCCCTCACAGACATGCCCCAGAGGGCCACCTCCCTAGGTTCTTTCCAGTTGATAACACTAACCATTACCTCAGTCTTTCTCCTCAGGGAATATCTATTAGATCCTACCCCACTGGATAAGTTCAGAATCTAATTTATTCTGGCTAGCAATAAACTCATTTCATATTTTTTCCTAATAATCAAATGACTTTTAAAGGGAGAGGAGAGACTGTTACAGATCAATGAATGTAACACTTCGGGTCTTAAATCATATTTTAGGCAACTTGAGAAAGTTGACTGTGATCTGACTATTGGATGATAGCAAGGAGTTCATAATTGTTTATTAGGTATTTAATGACACCATGGTTAGTAAGCAATGCTTTAAAAACCTCGTTTTCAACAGAGGGTAGGGAAATTGAGGCAAGAGGGTCAAGACCAACAGGCTAACCCCAATTACAGACTGAGACTCTGTTTTTCAACAAAACAAGAACACAACAAACAACACAAATATTTTTAAAACAAACACAAATATTTTTAGGTGTGAAAAACTGAAATGAGAGGAAAGTAGGATTTGTTTAAAATACTAACAACAGCAGCAGCAGCTCAACAATAACAGCAGCAGCAATATAGAGCAATAGTGAGAAGATTTTAGGAACTATTTCCTTCTGATAGTTCCATGAAGGAGATAATAAGTCAGTAATTTTTAGCACCCCAGACATGCATTAGATAATATTCTCACCCATCCTCCTCTATGTCAATCAATATGCATTGCATTGTCAAACCTAAATATCACTTTCAGTTTCCACCCCCCTTGTTGCAAAATATTAGATAAAATGTTTGCTAATTTTCTTATGTTTGTTGGTGCCTCCACTGTGCTGAACACCCCCCTCCCGCCCCAAAAATAACCACAGTTGCCAGTGACAGGCAACCAAGGGTTGCCTTGAAAGTGATGCTGGCTCCTGCCAAAAGGGAACGTCTGCTCTAGGCTTTTCTCCTTGGGTTGTACCTGGATGCTTTTACCTTCACAGAGTGCTCTCCTTGTATTCAAGTTTGTCTACAGATTTCTCCCACTCCCACATAGCCTTATCACCAACTGCATCTCCATAGCCCTACCTCCAAACAAAGTCATATTCTGAGATGCTGAAGGTCAGAACATCAAGTAAGACCTTTAGGAGAGGGGACTCAATTCCACCCACAAAGCTTCTGTTCCGTTCCAAAGTCTATGATTCAGAGCCATCGTCGTATATGGCCCAGATGAAGTGCCTTGATTGCTCTGCTTTCTGCCTTTTGTCATTATTGCTTATTCAGTTGTCACGTGGGACATTTGCTTACTGCCAGGAGAAACCTATGAGTCCTAAGCCTGGTTCAGCCTAGAAATCCAATAGCACATAGCTGATCACATGGAGCACATGGTGAAGCTGAAGGTCCCTTCATCAGGCAGGTCAACCAAACTCAAAGTCATTTGCAGAAGCCAGGCTAAACTAAGTTCGGTTGATTCCTGGATCTATGTGCAACCTGACATCCTCAAGTAACCCAGATCGATGCAACCTGTTCCTTCTTGATATCATGTATCTGTCTGTTAGACTTGTACAAACAGTGTAATTTCCTTGTAGGATTTAAAGTTTCAGAAGTGTGTGATGTTCAATCATGCGTATGTGGAGACTCTGTCGAGCTATAATGAAATGACTCTTAATCACGTGACCATGAAACTCATTATTCTTGTGTACGGCAATGTGATCAATAGCAAAACAGAAGAAACACATGTCGCACCCTGCATCATTCCTAAGTCTTGTGAGCAGGTAAGGAGCATAATTTCCAGAGAGCCCACTTGCTTTGCATGGTGCTCCATAAGCAATTTTAAAGCTCAGGCGATAACAGCTAATTGTGTATTAAATTTAAATTTGGAGTCTGGATGTAACAGCTGCCTGACAGCTACTGGATGCAGGAATCAAGCAAGCAGCTCAGCTGTTCTGACCTTTAGTTTGCTACTTAAAGCAACGAGGATGCTGGCAGCAGCCATGTTGTTAGGCTAATATGAGGACCAAGTAAAGCAATTTGTATTTAGAGATGCTAGCTTAATCACTATTCTTCTGTTCCTTGCATCCCGGAAGGCCAGTTGGAAGGCTGGTCTTGAGTAGTTGATCTTCAGTATAGGTGTAAGAGTAATCCATGGCTTGCTAGCCATTCCCTTCTTTCCAAATGGGGGTATTCTAGTCCAGTTATAAATAAGGAGTAGAAGGTTTTCCTTTGGCTTCCATAAACATGCAAAAGATAATTTTCTAGCCTAAGGTTTCTTTGAAGCAACATGAAAGGGGATTTAAAGTAAAAAGACAGGGCCTGACAGGATTTGTGTGGTAAGTGCTGGAGTTCCAGCAGTTTGTCAGGGAGAGATGTCAGAAAGTTGGAGGCCAGCCTGGACTAAGTCAGGAGTCCCTGCCTCAAAACACAAGAAAACAGACAGGCAGACATGCACGCACGCACGCACGCACACGCACACGCACACGCACACGCACACGCACACGCACACAGCTGAGGTTGGAGACCTAGCGCTGCATTTCAGCTTGTTTCTTGCAGCCTTTACAAAGAAAATTGGGAAGCAGCCACTTAGGGATCAGATGTCTGCTCTTTTGACGAATTTTTATTTCTTATGCCTGTAGATCCAGGGAATTTCAGATGTAAGCAAGCTTCTCATAATCCCGACATCTGAGCCTGTCAAAAACGACGCGACCTCCCACGCCATGGGTAAGGCTTTTTAGTGGTGAGAAAACTACTGTGAAGCATTTCAACAAATGCAAATTTCTTTAATTCTGGAAGGAGATTGGAGGTGGTCCTCACTCTGGGGCCCACAGTGGATGTCACTTTTGCTTTTGGAGAGTCACCTATCAAAGATTAAAGTCCAGACTCTAAAATCCATGTGGTTCTTGCCTCTCCCCTGTCCCTCCTCCCTCCAATACTCTTGATAGCTGACAAGAAGTCCTGGTAAACTGAGCCACAATGTGATATTGGGGTGCTGTTGACATGGGGAGAGGGGAGACTCCCACTGTGGGGTCAGGCAGAGGTGGGAAGCTGGTGTGTTCCTGGTAACTAAAGGGAATATGGACCCTGACCCACCCTGTTTGAGTATTGCAAGCTGTAGTCACAGGCACAAGTCCAATGGCTGGCACAGTTACACTTTGAAGGTCACTAAGTTTTGCAGTCAATAGATGCAATTCTCAATCATGCTGCCGAGCACTGATTATACAAAGAACAGTAGGTAGGAAGGCTTTGATCTGGAGAAAATGTACCCAGGGACTTCATTCTGTGCTCATTGTCCTCGCCTTGCTGGGTTCAATCACAACACCATCCCACCTGTCCCAGCTTGAGGACTGAGTTAGCTTGAGTGTTATGGTGTATGAAACCATGCAATTTTTTTAAAATGTATTTTTTGTTTTATTTACGAATGAGTGCTCTGTCTTTCTGTGTACCTGCATGATAGAAGAGGGCATCAGATCCCATTATAGATGGTTGTGAGTGACCATATGGTTGCTGGGAACTGAACTCAGGATCTCTGGAAGAACAACCAGTGCTCTTGAATACTGAGCTCTCTCTCCAGCACCAACCATGCAATTCTTACTGCGTTGATAGTTTGAGAGGAGATATGTCTTTCATCAGGCCTCCTGACAAGACACTAGACCAAAGGAAGGATTCTTATTCTGTGGTGGGCTTCAGACAAAACTCACAAATGGTAAGACTAGTTCCTTGAGTTTGGATCCTGACGCATATTTTGCTTTGAAAAATTTCAGTAAGTTGCCATGGGGAAAAAAAAATACAGAAAAGCGAGATAGTCTGGCAGCATGCAGCTCTCATTCCCATAGGTGGCAACAATTAGTGAGATATCAACCGACTTGTGTAGTGGAAGCGGGTACCCTGTACCCTCTTGCCTGGATACAGCCTGCTTTGTTTGTAGGACCTGCTTGCCGGCCCATATGGTACACCTTTAGGGGCTTATTTACAAAACTCCAAGAGAAGAAAGTAAAGAGTCTGTTTGGGAAGGGGAAGGAGAAGAGAAGATTAACGTGGAGAGTGCAGACTGGTATTCCAAACCTCCTGCTGCCTTTACTCAAATATTCCTTTTCTTTTTTCCCTTTTCACCTCAGTCAACACTGGTCTTCGAACAACCAAGAAAGACTATAGCTGGAAGAGAAAAGATGAGGTAATAAACCAGGCACTTGGGGTAGGTTTTCCTTATTATGACTATTAATTGACATAGCTAAAAATAAATTCCATAAGTCAGGTACAGTGGCACACACCTATAATTCCAGCACTCGGAAGGCCAAGCTGGAGGACCTGGAGCTGGAGGACCTGGAGGTCCTTTTAGCTACCTAGCAAGTTTGAGAGCAGCCCAAGCTGTATGAGACTCTGTTTCTAAATAAATATATAAATAAATAGTGAGACAAGGGAGCAAATGTAGGTAGTGAGAAAAGACATCTTGTTACAACTAACGCACTGCCTGATTGAGACGAAGCTAATCTGTATTACTTAAAAACTAATCTGTATTACTTAAAAACTAGTATTAGGAAACATTGTTTTGAGTCGTGTAACTTTGAGGGCTGGGGAAATGGCTCAGTGCCTAGTGTGTTTCCTCTACAAGCTTTGAGGACCCTAAATTTGGATACCCCATCTTCACAGAAAAATTAGGCACGGCAGCACATTGCCTGGCTTGTGAACAGGGAGGAGAGGTGGATTGTGAGGCTCACTAGCCTGTCTAAAAGGTGTTTCCAGGCTTGGTAAAACACCTTGCCTCAAAAATAATATAAATAAATAAAAAATGGAGACACGATAGGGGAGATATCTGAGAACATCATCTTCTGCTCCCCTTCCGGGCACAGTCATGGTGGCATGCACATGTGTACACATATGCATGTATAACACAGACATGTGTAGCTGACACACCCAGGCTTTCTCTCCTCATTGCTTTCTAAAGTAAGGATCTGTGGGAAGAGGAGGGACGCTCATCAAGCTCAGATCTAAGCGTAGCTGTCTAAGCCGTCATGCTTTTCCCATTTGGAGTGTGCTAGAGGGGCCCTGTACAGCCCGGCCTCTAAAGCCAGGGGTTGTATGAAGCTACAGACTGACCATGGGCGTCCTGCTAGAGTATCATCCAAATTAACTGCTACATTCCTTAAACTGACAGTTTTATATTAAACATTATTGAGCAGGATGGCAAACTTATTTGGATTTTTAAAGATAAAGCCAGAAACTTTAAAAAGTGTTAGTTTATTTAATTAAAATATCATTACATCATTTCTCCCTCCCTCTTTGCTTTCTAACTCCTCTCCCGTTCCCCCTACTTTTCAAATTCATGGCCTCTTATTTTTTTAATTATTGTTGTTACATGTAGGGTTATGGGTCCTGAGTCTGCTCTACCACAGGGCTCGGCCACTTGGCAAGGCAGGACAGAAGTTGATCACACCTATCCCGTGCTGTTTCGGGGCAGACCCGGGACACAGCTCGGAGGGTGGGAAGCTCAGTCTGAGGTGTGGGACATTTGGAGCTGGCTCGGGGGTCCTGGGGCCTGCAGGTTGGATCTGGCCCTGGGGAGGGGGCAGGGGAAAGGGGGAGCTCCAGCTGGTCCCACAGGGTAGGGGGAGTTCTTGGCTTGACAGTGGTAGCAGGCTTGGTGGCAGTCATGGCTGGGAGCACAGAGAGGCCTTCTATGGAGATTAGACAGCAGCAGCTCTATAGGTGAAGGCCTTCTCTACGGCTCCCCATGGTCGATGAAAAGAGGCAGTCCATGGTTTTAAGGTGTTTATTGTCATGGCAGAAAGTAGTTGAGTAAAACCATACCCCACTTGTCAGGGCGGGCCTGAGGTTAAATACCTTTTGCAGGGAGGAGTGTCTAGGAAGGAAAGCTTTTTGGCTAAGCCCTCCAGGTATCTAGGTACCTCATTAAAATGGAGATCTGCCTTGAGCCACAGGTCACATCTTCTACAAGTGGAGGGGCTTGGGGCGTTGCCCTTATGTGACTGATGGCTACAAATCTATGGGGGCTGAGGCTAGTGACAGGGGCCTGGTGCCTGGGAATCAGGTGAAGTGCCTACCATCCCTTCAGGGTTTCTGGGGTTCAACCAGGGACCAAGCTACCTTTCATGGTCCCACAATTACATTCTTGTGTGTGTGTGTGTGTCTAAATATAAAAGTCCATTTGGTGCTGCTTATCTGGATTTTTTTGGGGGGACTGACCACTTGGGATTAGATAATCATTTATTTGGGGTTCATCTCTGGGGAAGATTGATTTTCCCCAACTCAGTAGTTTGTAAATGCCTGTAACACATCTAGGGTTGATTCCTCCAATCACGTTGGCATGTCGACTGGTGTCATTGTTAAGGTCTTGCTTAGACCGCCATATTGCTGAGATTTCATGGGTGTAGGACATGACCTCGAAGCCCACTTTCTGTTCCCTTGGTTAGAGAAATCTTTGTAGCCATCTTCTGTGATGTTCCCTGAGCCTTAGGCGTAGAGGACTGTATTGTAGATGGGTTGGGAATGGGGTTGTACCTCAGAGTCAGTTGTTTTACATTTTAACTAGCTGTGACTTCCTGTCATGGTCTCTGTCTGCTGCAAAAGAAGCTCCTTTGATGACGGGCAAGAGCTACAGTTACCTGTGGGTATAAGGATAAGTATTTAGAATGTAGTTGAACATTTTACTTGTTTAGGAAACTGACAATAGTAGTTGCCACTGAGACATAAATGCCATTATTACACCTTTTAGGGATACCTGGAGGTGCTGATCACTGCTGTGGGTCACAAACATCACAACAAAATTTTGAAACGTCTTTTTTCTTTTTTTTAAAAAAGAAATATTTGTTTATTTATTTTATGTGAGTACACTGTCACTGTCTTCAGACATATCAGAAGAGGGCATCAGATCCCATTACAGATGGTTCTGAGTCACCATGTGGTTGCTGGGAATTGAACTCAGGATTTCTGGAAGAGCAATCAGTGCTCTTAACCTCCAGGCCATCTCTCCAGCTCTGATACATGATTTTCAAGCCATGTATAGTTTTGCTTTCCCTTTTCTCGATCTCCTTAGCTGCAAGAGCTGATGTGGAGAAGTCTGAGCAGTGCTAGAAGTTATGCCTACATTTGTGAAAGCAAAGGGCTTGTTACCCTGGGCCAGAACAGAATAGAGCCCAGGTAGTGAGACTGTCTGCAACTCTCAGGATGGTAGGGTCTTAGTCTCTCTCTCTTTTTTTTGTTTTTGTTTTTGTTTTTTGTTTTTTGTTTTTTGTTTTTTTGTTTTTTTTTGTTTTTTTGAGACAGGGTTTCTCTGTGTAGTCCTGGCTGTCCTGGAACTCACTCTGTAGACCAGGCTGGCCTCGAACTCAGAAATCCACCTGCCTCTGCCTCCCAAGTGCTGGGATTAAAGGCGTGCGCCACCACCGCCTGGTGGGTCTTAGTCTCTTCAGGGCTCTTGGTCTGACAGGTTGACTGGGTATAGGAGTGAAGGTTGCTAAGGACAGGCCTTAGGGGCCTTCGGCAGCCTACCTCATTTTAATTTCTAATGGCTAGATGTCCTCTAAGCAAAAGTGATACACCACACACAGACACCATCCTCAAGGAAATGTCCACACCTACGCTCTTTTAAGAGAAGATTTAGTCCTATCACCTCCATTTGTGATGAAGGTGATATGCAGTTTGATTGTCAGAAGAAGTGGCATCTGCTGTTTCCCATCAAGGTCATGGGCAGTAGTTCCTTTTAAAGATCTATTTACTTTATGTATGGAAGTACACTGTCACTGTCTTCAGACACACCAGAAGAGGGCGTCAGATCCCATTACAAATGTGGTTGCTGGGAATTGAGCTCAGGACCTCTGGAAGAATAGCCAGTGCTTTTAACCATTGAGCCATCTCTCCAACCCTCAGTAGACGGACCAACTCATCTCTTTTTGGGTTGCTCTTTTAGGGTCATACTCTCCACACTCTTGACAGGAACCTCATTTCCTAAGTGGAGAGAGGTCCTGAGAATCAAACAGCTGGGCTTCTCACTTCTTACATCTGTCTTTTCCAGGCCTCATCATTATCACTTTTTTTTGTAGGGCTGGGGAATTGAACCTGGGGCCTCGAGCAGAGTACCAGTGAGTCATATTCCCAGCCCACAGGCCCCATTGTTTTTTAAAAAGTTTTCACTTCCGAAATTTATGGAAAAAGTTTCCTGGTACTTAGTAGTCACTCATCAAGCTAACTAGAATTTAAATTTTATGGCGCTTCTCTTCTTCTAAATCCAACTTTGATAGTTGAATTAATGTAGCACAAATTGCTAACTAAATGCTCCTGCCAGGCAGTGGTGGCACGTGCCTTTGATCCCAGCACTTGGGAGGCAGAGGCAGGTGGATCTCTGTGAGTTGCAGGCCCAGCCTGGCCATAACCGTCAGAGCTGTTACCCAGAGAAACTCTGTCTCAAAAAACAAAAACAAGAGATATCTCTTTATAGTATAGAAATACACACATGGCGCGGGAGAGATTGCTCAGTGGTTCACAGATCTTGCTACTCTTGCACAGGAACCAAGTTTGGTTCTCAGCACCCCCGTTGGTTAGATGGCTCACAACCATCTCTAACTCCAGTTCCAGGGGATCCAGGTACGACAGGCCCTGGGCACATACACACTACACATACATACATACATGCAGGTAAAACACTCAAGCACATACAATAACAACAAATGATTAAATAAAAATGAGAAATACACATGTTAATCGTATTGTAACTCCGAGCCCTTAGCATGGAAGTTCTTTTAAGGGAAGATATACCAGATAATAAAATAGAAACCTTTCCTTCATTTTTGATTTCATTTAATTGGTAAGAAGCCTCTTTCGAAGTGTTGATGGTATATTTTTGACTTTTCTTTTGCAGTTTGAAGGTGGACACCTCTTTAGAAAGTCATTTTAACGAGACAGCTCTGATGTGTGGAGCCAGGTAAGGCAGACCTGACGGTGCAGCACAAATGACACACACTTAGAGACTGCTCCAACTGTTCACTGCTGACACACACTTAGAGACTGCTCCAACTGTTCACTGCTGTGCTGACTTTATCAGCCATTAATGGGCCGCCACGAACACTCCAGATGTTTAGTTGTTGCACTACACGTGAAATACTCAAAATTCCTCAGGATACTAGAAAGTCCTTTAACGCTTACTGATGGGACTCTTCCCCTAGCTGAGCACAAGTCGTAACAGTCAGTTACGTAACAGCAAGTGAGATGTACTATTAATGTGGTAAATCACCACACCTGCAGATCTTACTTGTGAAATTGCCATGCTTAGTGACTCTGACATTCTGTATCTTCCCTCTCTAGCTTAAGGTGCTGGAGTCGGGGAAAATGCTCCACAGTCTTGGTTACTGAAAGCAAAGTTTGGGAGGAGTCTGCATTCTTACGTTGCACAGTCCTGTCTGATGGAACTTTCTGCTTTATTTTTCAAAGTCAAATAAAGGTGAACGCTATGGTTAACGAATAACTGTTCAGAATCCATTATTCCTTTTCACTTCAACCAGACTGAGAATATATGATAGTCTTGAGAAAACGAGGAGAGAGGTAAATAAATAAATAAATAAATAAATAAATAAATAAAGAAAGAAAGAAAGAAAGAAAGAAAGAATACAGAACTAAGAAAAAGTTGAAGCTTTCAGACCTTCTCAGGGCAGGCTCTGAGCAGCCTTCGGTGTGTCAGAAAATATCAGGTGTGGCTGCACACTGCTGAAACCTGACTGTACTTGTTCACAGAGCTTCATTCTTTCTGATCTGATACTTCTGGTGCTGCCACTTAAGGGTGTCGTGGCCACACCCCTTCTGGTGCCTCACCCATTCTTCCTTGGCTTTGGCCTCTCAATGTCCGTGAAACACCTGTGTCCCCCGGTGGTCCACTCACTTTCAGGAGTGGTGTAAAGAGCTTTCGAACAGGTGGAGGCTGCTTAGTTTTGTTTGTCAGTTTGCCACAACAGAGAATAGTTACTTGCGGAGAGAGCCTCAGTTGTGGAATTACCTTGATCGAGTGGGCCCATGGGCAGTTTTATGGTGGGGATTGTCTTGACCGTTAATGGATGTAGGAGGATCCAGCCTCTTGGGGTGGTAGCATTTCATGGGTGGGGCCCTGAACTGTTTAAGGGTGGAAAAATATAAGCATCAAGCAGAGACACATTTACTCTTCTTTGTTCTTGATTATGGAAGTGACGTGACCAGTTCGTGCCTCGACTTCCCCAAAATGATGGCCTGGAACCTAGAACCATAAATGAGATAAGCCCTTCTCCCCTCTGTTATTTCTGGACAGGGTGTTTTTTATCACTACTGTAGAGAAACAAGAACAGGTATCTTTGCCTTTGAGAGGGGAACAGACTGGTGAGTGACCACAGTATTGCTCTGCCTGTCACAAGTACCTGGACTCTATATGTGGCTCTATGGTCCCAGTCTCTCTGCTCTTTATTGGACTGCTCAGTATATTTAGTGCATATGTAACCTTGCACTCAAGGGTAGGTGGTATAGATGCACTAGAAAAGGCGTAAGCTTTATGGTCTTCCTTAGGAGGCATATTAGCATGTAGTTGAAACGACCGGAAGAAGGTACTTGACTTGATGTATACAGAACATGGTGTGCTTCAGATGACTAGGAAACAGCCCCCAAAGAGGAGTTTCCTGAGGGTAGAAATTTTCAAATCTAGTTTTCCTCTCTCTGCTCTGTTACTTGTTCAACCTTATTCTGTGGTTGCATTTTTTTTTTTTAAAAAAAAATCACGTCTAGTAAAAGAGAAAAAAACTGATCCCACCCCACCAAACCCCCAAACCCTGCTAATTGTTTTAGCTAAATAATTACTTTAGAAGACCAGCATGGTGGCTCACACCTAGAATCCTAGCACTTGGGAAGTAAAAGTAGATCAAAAGTTCAAGGCCAGCCTACACAATACTGACTCGAAGAAAGAAAAGTGAATTCTAAGAAACTCCTAGAAATCTTCAATTTGTGTTTCACAGGCAAGTAATCACACACAGGTTTCTGAACCTGTCAGAAGAGGATGGTAATAACTTTTTTTTTTTTTTAATTTATGTGTATGTGTTCAAGTGGAAGCAGGACAACCTGAGTTGTTCTTCAGGAGCTGACCACCTTATCTTTAAACAGGATTTCTTGGTGGGACCAGGGACTTGCAGATCATCTTGAGTTGGTTGGACAGGGAGACTCAGAAATACATCTGTCTCTGACTCCTCTGAGGTAAGATTACAAGTATGCCCTCACCACACGTGGCTTTTTATGGAGGCACTGGGAACTGTATGGCAAGCACTTCACAACTTGCATGGCTTTAAATGAGAAGGGACAATGAGGGCGGCCATGTCCGGTGCTGCTGGTGGAGCTGACAGCTCAACTCGGTCACTTAGTTGCTCTCTGCTGCTTTTGCTGACCTCTGAGGATGGAGATGAACCCAGCTTTGACAAGACTAGAGTTCAGCTTATCACTGTGATCTTGGAAGGCTATCCGCTCTACCTAAAACATTTCTTAATTCTGGAAGAGCCATATGAACTAATTCTTTAGTTCCTTGTTTCTAGGGCCAGGGGCAGTAGCACGTACATACCTTTTATCCCAGCAGTTGGAGGCAGGGGCAAGTGAGCCTCTGAGAGTTTGAGGATAGCTCGGGCTACATAATGAGTTGCTGTTTAAAAAAAAAAAAAAAAGAGCAAATTCCTTGTTTCTTGCAGCCATAATTCAGTTTCAAAAGCAAAATAATGAAATTCATTCTTAAAGAAATGTCAGGCCAGAATTTAGCCTCCCCACTCAACAATGTATTTAAATATGTCTTCAGGATCACTCCCGCCCTTGTAAGTGTCAAACACTATAAGTATTTTGTATTTGGTAAAGGATACTTGGATCAAGTCTCATTCTCAAAACTGTCTAGTGAAAAAGTACCAAAATTCAATTAAAAAAATTTTTAATACTGACATCATTAATGTGGGTAAAATAGTCAAAATACCAAGATTTAGGAGTTTGACTGAAGAGGCGCAACATGTTTATGGGGATGAGGGGAAAAAATGTTGTTTGCTCATTCAGTGGCAGACATTCCACTGGTCAATCAGCACAAGATTCAAGTTTGAGTGATCAACAATGGCAGTTTTAGATTTGAACTTTGTCATAAAAGTTGGTGGCATGGGGCATGGTTGTGACTCTTCCCATCTGAGCTTCTGGGGAGCTGTGGCAGCAGGAATGATTTCAGGTCTAGCCTGGGCTAGAAAGCAAGGCAATGTCATCAACACAAAAAAGCAGAAAGGCCTCAACAGGAACTGGAAGCCAGACTTGCCATTGAAAGCAAGGACCAAAGTAATCAAGTGTGTAAGGGAAGAGTGCAAGCAGTGAGGAACCTACCAGGAGGGAGATGACCCAGGGCCCACCACTGCCTTGATTTTCTCTCTCCAGCTTGACACCTAGAAATAAACACCCAATGCTCAAGCCATGACATCTTTGTTACAACCTGGACTAAGACCCACAGTGCCTTTCTACTCTGACTAGTAGCACTCTATATAAACTAGAAACCATTCCATTCAGAGTAGAAAAACAAAATATACCACTATCTCAGAGCTTATTTCTTAAGCCCCACCACACTACTAAGACATTAAGGTTAGACTGTCTAACCATTAGAAATAGTGGTTCTCAACCTTCCTAATGCTGCAACATGTGGTGGTGACCCCAACCATAAAAATTATTGTTTCTACTTCATAACTGTAAATTTGCTATTGTTATGAGCAGTAGTGTAAATGTTTTCCATTGGTCCTAGGCAACCCCTGTGAAAGGATTGTTTGAACCCCAAAAGGGTTATGACCCACAAGTTGAGAACCTCTAAGAAGGTGGTGAGCTGCATACCTACTCACAAGACTTAGGAAAACAGGAACCAATGAACTGGCCTACCATAAATGTGGGAATTCTGTTGTCAGTGGCTCCCGGTTCATATGAAGATTTATCTATTGTCAGTGAAAAATACCCATGCCAATCCTAGCAAGAAGGAAGCATGCCTGTCCGTTAGAGTGTGAGTCTAAGATAGCAGTACTTTAAAATGTGACAACACAGTTTTTTGATCAGGTTTTTATTTGTTGAACCTCAAAAAGCAGAATTCAGAAATGGCAACCCACTACTAGGACATTTAGTGGTAAAACATTGTCACTGCCTGTCTTTTATAAGGTACGTTCACATGTGGATATCACCAGAAAGCAGACGTGGAAACTCCAGGAGGTACATATGCACTCTTTGGAGGTGAAAGGCTTTCTGAGCCCACTTTGATAGAAACTTACAATGGATTCCCTAAAGAATTCTCCTGGGCTGTTCCCACTTTATTTACTAAAAATACAGAATTGAAAGTTTCTCCCCATTTTAGCGCTCTCCAAAATGGGTAACAGAAGATTCAGTTCGGAAAGCTACAAAAGGTGTTTAATCATTCTAGCATGGAGCCCACACTGCACTATCACAGACCCTGCAGAGACCTAAGGAGTCTCCAATACATAATTCCTTTCAAAGAAAGCCAGTCAGCAGGGCACTGTGACAGGTGGAGGGGCAGAAGGCTGGTGAAGGCACAGAGTAAAGAATCCCGAGAAAATTTGGTGCCATTTCCATTTAATGACCCAGTAGCACAGCGAGAGACCTATACGACTTCTCCGGGTGTGATCACGCCATGATCTTTCTATGGAACTGCTGCAAGGACCCACGGCTGTCAGCCAGCATCCTCAGGTCCCAGTGCTGGGCGCGCAGCAGCAGCCCCAATTCCCGCAAAGACTTAAGGCTGGGGTGTATAACGGAGGTATTTTTTGCCAGACGGGAGCTCTTTGGTGAAGACTCCTTTAGGGAAACATTGTTTGGCTTCCTCTTCAGGGAGGGTGGGAACGACCATCACGCTCTCTCCGTTCTGTTGGGAGACATTAAGAACAGTGCAATTCAATCTTACAGTGATGGTAAAAGGTCTTAAAGAATTATTTATGGAAAAGCGGTAAATGGACGTATTCTGTATTCTCTCTCTTCTCTGAGGAACTTGTTTTACAAATTGACTTTTGATATGTTAGGAGAGATTTCTCCACCATAAGTAGGAACAGTTCTGTTTTAAATTCCATCATAGCTGGCCACTACTCCTTAAAGTTTAATTCAAAACCTACCCTCCACCCCCCCCCCCCCCCCCCCCAGTTTACAGATCCTATTGGATTGGATCAGGCTAGATTCCTTCTTACCTCCCATCCCCCACACCCACTTGCTGACAATATAGATAACTTGCCTGTCAGAAAAACAAAAACAAAAACCCAATACTCAAGTTAACACACAGAGCAGAAAGCAACACTAAGACTCCCTTGGTGTATTATTGCTCTGTTTACCTGCAGAGATCTTTCTTAGGTATATTACAAGTGTATGAACAATCTGGGAGTGGTAGTGCATGTCTGTAATCTCAGCGCAGCAGAGCCTGAGGCAGATTAAGAGTTCAAAGCCAGCCTATGATAAACACTGAGCTCCTATTTATTTAAAAGGGGTAGAGGGTGGGGATTGATTCAGCAGGTGGAATGCTTGCCTGGCATGCATGAAGCCCTAGGTTTAGTTCCCAGGACCATTTATAACTGGGCATGGTGACCCGGGCATGGTGACTCATGCTTGGGATCCTAGCACTTGAGGCAGAAGATGATCAGAAACTGAATTTGAAGGTCATTCTTGGCAAAATGGTGAGTTTTGAGCTCAGCCTGGGTTACAGAAGACCATGGCGTGTGTGCAGATGTGGACACACACACACACACACACACACACACACACACACAGAGTTTCTGAGCAAGTTTCAAAGACTATATGTTTAAAAGGCTAGAACTTGAGAAAAATGCTATGACATCAGTACACCAACAGTTATACAGCCACTGTGACAGAGGGAAAGCAGCCAGGCAAGCTTCTCTTCCTTCCTTCCTTCCTTCCTTCCTTCCTTCCTTCCTTCCTTCCTT